CAGAGGTTCTCTTACAGGCACTCCTCAAGCAGTGATGCTCGAGCAAACTCTGGTTGGAACTGCATGGAAGAAGTCCATGGCAAGCCCCTTTTGGATATTTTTACTCTGATGAAACAATCCACAATGAAACAAAGCATAGTGCCAGAACATGAGACTCTCAGGTCAGAATACACTCAATCAGTGACTGAGGAAGAACAAAGGACAAGTATAAATAGCTCTGTTGCTAATAGCGCAACTAGATCAAAGCTGAAAGGAAATCTAGTGGCTGACATGCAGGGAGGTGAAAGAAAGGTTCAGTGCTGCACAACACAAACAATCAGAACATGGAAAGTGAGAAATATTATTATTATTTATTATTATTATAACTTTTCTAAATATGAATCAAGGAAAACTGGAAGCTGTGATACAAGAAATGGAACGGTAGACATTGCAGGACTTGAAGTAAGTGAACTCAGGTGGACTGGAATGGGAGACTGTCAGGCAAACAAGCACTAAGTGTTCTACTCTGGAAATTATCATTTATTTCCTTTCTATCTTTCTCCAAGCTGAAACAATCCATAAAATGGCAATAAATGTAATTACATACCATAAAATCAGAGAAATGTTTAAAAAGGTTAGAACAGCTAAAACATACAATAAAGAATGACCCTGTAAAAAAGACGAAACTGCATATAGGAAGGTTAATCCCCTTAAGCCGCTGGGTAGCCAAGTAAATCTTTAAACGTTTCAGCATAATGGGCTGCCTTAACCTGTCACTGAAAAGTTGGCAAGGTTGGTGCTGGGTGGGCCACAGTACGGAGGTTGTTCTTTGGATGGGGACTTCCATAAGGAAGTCCCCCCCGCCCCGTTTCCACCCTCTGAGCCTCCATCGGAATTGACACTTGGAGGAAGGCCCCAGAGGTTGAGCGTGGTATCCAAATAGACTATGGTGGGAGGGATATTTTGGCATGTATTCTGGTCCCAAGCCATGTAAGCCTTTATAGGTTAAAACCAGCACCTGCAATTGGACCCACAAGCATGCAGGCAGCCCATGCAGGTGGGCCAGAATTGATCTTATGGGCTCAGATCTATGGGTCCCAGTTATTAATCCAGCTGCTGAATTCTGCATGAGCTGCAGTTTCTAAACAGTCTTCAAGGATAGCCCCATGTAGGGGTGTAGCTGGACCATCAGCTGAAGCTGGTAGAAGGTACTGCAAGCCACTGAGGCCACCTGAGCCTCAAGTGACTTAAGAGCCTCAAGGAGGACCCCCAGCCCACAAACCTGCTTCTTCAAGCAGAGTGTGACTTCATCTAGAACGGGTCAAATTCCTTTTACATGGTCAGAGGAACTGGCCACTAACAGCATCTCAGTCTTCTCTGGAATGAGCCTCAGTTTTTAGCCCTCTTCCAGTCCATCAATGCAGCCAGGCACAGGTGTAGCACAGCCACAGCCTTGCCTGCTGATGATGAAAATAAGAAATAGAGCTGTGTCATCAGCATATTGATGACAGCATGATCCAAAACTCCAGATAGCACAACTCTGCAGTTTCATTTAGAGGACATTTAGAATGGAGGCAGAGTAGTCCCCTAAGGAACTGCATAGTGGAGAGTCCAAGGGGCAGAGAAGTGTCTCCCAAGCACTACTTTTGGAGCCAGTTGTCTAAGTGGGTGTGGAACCATCACAACGGTTCCTAGTCCCAACTCAAAGACAGTCATCCCAGAAGGATACCATGGTACTGAAACCTGCTGGGATGTCCAGGAGTATCAATAGGATCACCCACACACAACACCCATCTCCCAGCATAGGGCATCCGACAGAGTGACAATGGCTGTTTTCTTGCCAAAACCAGGCCTGAACCCAAACTTAAATCAAACCAGAAATGACAAACTCAGAAGAAAGTCTGAGGCAAGATAGAGCAGACAGGAAGGGGCTATAATGCAAAGTCTTGCCAAATCACATTAATCCGTATTTGTGGAAAATCTATCAACATCATCATCATCCTCATCATCATCCCAACCTATGCTCCACCAAGAGATGCTGAAGAAAAAAATCAAACACTTTTATGTAGGTTTCCAAGAGGAAATTGGTAACATACCAAACAAGATAGGCTGATAATCCTGTGTGACTAGAATGCAAAAGCAGAAGCAGAATCCATGATGGTGGGAGAGTCTGGCCTGGGGTCAGAAACGAAGCAGGAGAATGATTCATGCAATTCAATGAAGCCAACCATCTGTTTATTGCAAATACATATTTCAGGGCACAGCTCAGGCAACTGGACACACGGACATCACCAGGCAGCCTATACAGAAGTCAACTAATTGAGAAAAGGAGATGGAGAATCTGTATTCCCACTTCCAAAACAAGACCGGGAACTGTGGAAATTATCACGAACTCTGAAATATCAAAGCTGAAAATGATCACTCACAGAAGCATAGTGCCGAAATACAAAGATAACATTTCTGAGTAAATTAAGTCAACATAAAGAATAGATGTACATCTGTGAACTCAATTAAAATAATCAATTATACATTTGCACTTGCTTCTACCTATGTGTTAAAAGAGTGACTTGAATGGAAGTATTTCCAAAAAATGCAAATGAACAGAAGAAACTGAAAGCTGCAGTAAATATCCAATGTTCCTATACTTGAGCGTCTGGGCACAAATGGTTGATATATTGTAGTGACCAGCAACAAGATATAAAAAATTAATTAATTAATTTCTACCCCCTCCCAACAGCTGGACAGCTCACATCAGTTCCAAAAATAATAAAGCACATCTACAGATAACAAAATTCCATGTTAAATTTCAATGTACAACATTTAAACCATTTAAACAGCTAAAACATTTTAGAGGGTAGACATATTTTAAATGCAGCTGACATAAATGCTTCCCTTGCTCCCTCCCCAGTCAATATTTCCACGCAGAAGTAGAATTCTAAAGCATTCTGCTTCTGACAAGATCTTCAAAGATTAATTGTCATTTGTGGTCTTCCCAGCAGTTTTCTATGTACTGAAAGCATTTTGAGGAATGGAGACTTCAGTCTCATCAGACCAAGCTGGGCTTCAGATGGATGCCTGCACAAGCTGGGTTTCTCAAGGCACATGCTTGGTGTCTCTTCCAAAAGCTGCTGGAGTGAATGAGTCCTTATCTTGCCCTGAGCAAATAAAAGAGCTCATTCCCAGGAGTGGGGGGAGGTCTTGTTGGCTAAGACTTGGATACCAAGTGATGATGGTTTGTTTATATGACCAAGAAGGAAAGTCTGAATTATGTAAAAAGTACACCTTATCTGATCGTCTGGTGCCACTGAAAGAAAAGACTTATAATGTCATTCACAGCTTGTTATTGTCATATGCAAGCGGGGGGGGGGGGGGGGGGGTTGAGGGGTGGGAACAGAAAGACAGGAAGTCCTGAGCAGAAAGTGAAGAGAAATCCAAGGTCACATTTATCCAAACTCCAGGAATAAAACTAAAATCCACAATCCAGTTAAGCAATGCCTTTACCAACCAACACCATGCAAAAACCTGTGCAAGATTTTCTGAGTTCTTCAGAACATTTCAGCAGGCTGGGTCAGGGGGTAAACAACTCACCCTGACGCATTGAGTGCTGTCAAATCTGCCACTTCCACCGTTGTTTGTTATATCAGCAGCTTTTGTGACTAAGTGTATATGTATGCATGTGTATATTTCTGTGTGCACACGTGTGTGTGGTGGCCAACCCCAAGACAGTATCACACGCAGCTGTTGAGGATAATAAACCTCCTGTACCCCTGGCCTAAGGGGCATAAGAAGACTGGACTGCGAATGGGGGGGGGGGCACGGTTTGCTGCTTTTTAAAGAAATGATGTGCAAAATATGCTGGTGGACAGGATAATTCAGCTCCAAAGTCTTGTGGCCTCAGAGCTGGGACTCTGAATGTGTAGCTCCTACCCCTTCACAAGGAGTGCAGAAAGAACCGTGTCAACTATGGTGAGGAGAAAAGGGGGCATGCCAGGTAGGGCGGGGCACAGAGGCGGCCGGGGTGAACAGCTTATGCTATATCCAAACAGCACCCGAGCTTCCTTCCTTCCTGCTCTGTGGCAGGTGTCAGGGCAAAACAAGCAAAAGCTTGGTCATAATATGGCTGCTAAAAAACCCGACACTGTACGAACAGCTTTAGATTTATGATAGGGTTCCTGTCCTTTGGGGGATATGCTTAGATATGCTAATCGTTTACCTGTCCTGAAAAGTCTAATTTTTGTATTGTGTTCAAAACAATCCTATTGTTTTACCCTAATGTGCCCATAGCAAAATGCCTCCGTGATCTCCCAGCCTCCTCCAAACTGGACATGTAACTGATAGGTTGTAAAAGCATCTTGTACAGAGCCCATCTTTGTAGCCCTTCAGGAGCTACCTATGTACCATGTAGTATGTCTGAATAAACCGAAAATGCTCCTTTGTCTGTACATGCTCAGTACACTCAGCCAGACAGCTGGGTGCAGGGTGTGGCAGTGGCAAAGCCCAGCTGGCATGGAAAGAGCCACACTGTTTGGGAGGGCACAAGAGGGGCTCTCCACTGTCAACGTCCCTGCTCCAACCTGGAGTGTATATCCAATGCCACAGCCAGGACTCCAGCGTATCCTGTGCTCCCAAATCCCAAGAGTTTTGGACGACCATAGGATTATGCCCTTTCCTTTGTAGCACAAATGCCTTGGGCTTCCAGGAGATGTGCTTTCATTTATTTATCATATCGATACCTACCTTACTGATTACTTTTTTCTATACTTCCCAGTGGTTGCAGCTATTTGAAGAACTGCCTGGCCGGTGCTACCAACAGTAAGCAACTTGTATAATCATCCGTGTCTGGCCCCGCCTTGCCCTCTGGTCGAGTTCGCACGACCAGGCAACCCGCCCGGCCCAGAAGCGCGCGCTGCGTGTCTCCCGGGCTGTGGCCGCCAGGGGGCTCTGATCATCGGGAAGGAAAGCCTCCCTGCTGCTTCCTCTCTCTCGCTCTGCCTTCCTTTGTTCCGAAGCCCGAATCTCCGACTGCATCCGGTCACGGCAGCTGCTTGTCCACCATATTGGGGTCTGTGGCAACCGGAGCAGAGGCCTCGGCTGCTGAGCGCTCTCCCTGCGGCCCACCGAGGAGGGGGCCTGTGCCCGGGAGTTGCGGGGGCAGCGGCGGGGCGGCGGGCTGGATCCGGCTCCAGACTCCGCTGCAGCCGCTGGGCTCTGACTCGGCGGAGGAGATCGCGGGCAAGTTTAAAGTGGTGTTTGTTTTGACGCGGAGGGAGAGGAGGGGGGAGACAGGCGGACCAGCCAGACACCCCTTCCGCGTAGCGGTCCGTGTTCCCCAGGCAAGGAAGGCCTGGTGGGTTCGGAAAGTGGGGCGGCCCGGGATAACGTGGGGTTGTGGGCAGAGAGAGGGAGCAAAGAAGCGCCGCAGGGGGGCTCGCCTTTGTCTCTTTGGGAGGAGCCGGATTGTCCCGATGTGGAGGGTGAAATGTTGAGAGGAAGAGGAAGGTGAGGGGGGCGATCCCTCTCTCGGCCTCCCCCTGTCCCCGCCTGCCGCCCTTTTCGGTCGGCCTCTCCCGACGTGAGAGTCAAAGGGAGAGGTCGTTTTTAACGCAGGATGACAGCCGGACCTTGGACGTGGGAGCGGGCCGCAGGAGGGAGGGAAAGGGAGAGCCCCCCCGGGCGGGGGAAGGGCGAATGTCGGGGTGAGTGCGTGTGTATGTGCGCGTGTTTCTGGTACCGCAGCAGCCACTTCCGGCTTTTGGAGGCGCATCTTCTTTTCCTCTCCCCTAGTGCGGGGGGGGGGAGTAGGAGGGGTGAGTCATAACAAGCTCTGGCATCATGTTTTCCCCTGGTTACTGGCTTTACTGACTGCTGAGCAGAGATGGGAAGAAACAGCGAGTCAAAATATTTTGCCAAATATTTTCCAAGCTTGCCCCTGTGGTTCAAAAGTGAGGCACGCATAAGACTTCTGTGGAACCTCAAGAGATCCTCACGACAGCCCTGTCAGGCAGAACCAGCAACAAGTCTTGTTGAGGCACTTTAAAGGAGGAGCACTTTTGCTGTGGCAAAAGCATGTGTGAAGTATGGGCAAAGTGTCGTGCTGAATTGCAGGTGTATACCCACGGTGGGGAAGGGGGAGAGGATTTGAAATGGTGAGTTCATATGGGAAATGAAATACCGGAAGGACAGATCGCAAAAATTACTTTAACAGTGGTAATTTAGAGGACATTCTTGGATGTTAAGAGAGAAATCCTTGTGTTTACAGTGGGGGAGTGTTTCAGCCTCTCTCCTTCCCCTCTGAAGCATTGCCTTTAGACTGCTGAAATTAGCTGCCTACACGCTTTGCTGGGTGGCCTGCATAGGATGCCCGTAATCCTCCAATTTTGGAGGTCTACAAACATCTTGATTGGACTGGGCCCTTAAATACTGAATTATCAGGCAAAAAGTATCTTTTTGCCCCAGAGTCCAGATTGCCCTAGAACTTTGTTCTGTACAACTCAATTTTCAAATCCCCACTAGCTGAAATGGGAGAAAGAACTTGAACATGTTGGGTGCCGTGGGAATAAAACAGGCACTGTTTTAGCAGGGGGGAAAAAAACCCAGACATTCACTAAAGTTGTGCCAAAGTTGGAGCCTATTGTTTTCATTCAAATTCAAGGCATTAAAAGAATTAGGATAACCACAGACAGCTAATTTTGGCATTCACAAGGTGATGTCTGCTAACTGGCACTAGATAAGTGGGACTTCACACTAGAGAACTGAGGTCAAAGAATGCTGCTTTTGCATTATTACTGGCTGTTGACAGATATCATTCATATGCTGAGAGATAATTGTAAAATAGCTGGCTGCTCAAGTAGGGAAGATTATATTGTAATTAGCAAATGCAAGGTTTAGATTATCATTTGATTCCGAATATAAAAGCCAAACTTGGCTAAATAGGAAGCAAAGAAAACAAACGAAACTAGAAGCATGGCAGAAGTTTGTCATTGTACTTCTTTTTAATTTCATAAATTAAATGATATCCCTGTATTTTCTATTTGCATTTCAGGTATTATGTACTCGTTTTATAGTGGATTTAGTTGTTAAAATTCATCTATGAACATCTGCATTTTAGAGGCCCTTTAAAACATTTAAGAAATTAGTATTAGGGTGCCATCTTAGACACAAAAGAAGCACTACAGTTCCTAGTATTTGTCAGCTAGCAACACTGGGAGTTGTAAGACTACTTTTTCTGTTTATACACACCTAGAATTGTGCCCATAAAGTGTTTACATTGCTACCACTGTGTTGCGAGTCATAAATAGAACCCATACTTAGGTAGGTGCCAGCTGGTACACCAGCTGAACAATTCTCAGAGGCTAATTTGTGGCGAAAGTTTTAACAGGCGACACCCTACAGGTAGTCATAGCACAGTAAACCAGCTCTAAACCAGTCCTGTGCTGTAGGTGATGCCGTCTTCCGTGGGCTGTATTCGCAGGTATGTGTGTTTAGGGTAGCGGCCTTCTCTTGTCAGACGCTTCCTGCTTTTGTAGATATGTCGAAAGGAGTGAGTTGCCTGCTTGCATCTAAGCTGGATTAACTGTTCTGCGAGGCTTAATGGCAACGCTGATTGCCCCACTGATGTCTCCTTATGGTGGCTGTATCAGAGTGGTTTTAACTGGCTGTTTCTGTCGTCTCTTGCAGGACAGGACACTTCTCAGAGATTTGGCTACAAGCTTGGACTGTGGGGTGGGGAGGTGAGAAAGGGCTTCAAGCGAGATCATGGAGGAGAACGAGGATGTGGGCTCCTTGGGTAAGCATCTCTTCCGTGAGAGTGTGAAGTCTCAGGATTTGGAGTGCCTGTGTGACATCAGAGAGTTTAGAAATAGGTCCTGTAGTAGATACAGGCTTTATTAATAACAACAACAATTAACAACAACAACAACAACAACATTTCTATATCGCCTGTAGTTGAAGCTCTCTGGGTGGTTTAATACACTCAAGCACCCATCCAGATCCTAAACAGGCCTGATGCTGCTTAGCGCCAAGATTTGGCAGAATCAGGCACTTCAGGCTGTACAGAAGCTCCTGCGACCACCTCCTGGCTAGCCTAATATAAGAACTAGCTACTGTTTAAAGGGTTTAGGTTGGTGCCATGATTGGGTTTTGCTAACTATGCTGGATCACTCCTAGCTCCTCAGTCTGAAAAATAGTCTCCAAATGAGCCCAAGAGGTATAGTAGTTTCAGTAGTTCCCACACAACACTCCTGCTTCAGTGCTATGGCAAAAAAGCTGGAGGCACGACAGATGGCTTTGTGGGAAAAGGAAAAGTGCCGTCTCCCCAGGCCGCCCTTCTCCAATGAGAAGAAGGCTGCCAGAAGGATTGCACAATCTGTTCCTGTACTGAAAGATCCCTGCCAACCATGTATGCTGGCAGGCTACCAGGACATCTGAAAGGGTTCTGGCAGCCTGAACTGCAGAGATTGGATGAATTGAAACAATGCATCATGTCCCTTGAATTAGAGTGTCAGAATTAGAACCTTGCCCCAAAGCTCATGCCCTACCGTGCTTTGCACTGTGTGTGTTTCCCTGTTGCACAGGAGAGTGGGGCTGGAGAAGACTTTCAGATACCTGAAAAGTTCCTTGAGTTTCTGACATTCGGCACTAGATTTTTTTGTGTTGCAGAGGAGCGTGTCCATCCAACACAGCCCTGTAAAAATAAACTCTGCAATGCTGCTCCAACTGAAAGGTGCCACTGCTATATTTCTAAGAGCTCAGGCATCTGAGGCTTCTTCACAGGCCTTGCCTATGTGGAGCGAGTCCCTGCAGCCCAGGAAGGGGAGGCTCCAGGAGCAGTGCTGCACTTCCTGCAGTTATTGAAAGTGTCGCATGTGCATGGCCCTGGCTGATAGTCTTGCTGTACTCAACCTGCTTGCCCAGGCCCTGAGATGTCATGTTCTGGCCAGTCACTTGCTGCCATGGATCTGCCACCCTCATGGAAAGGTTCTGCTGCGCTTTGAACTGCCTTTCCAGTCTCTGACCCATCCGTTATCTTGGCCTGCCCAGGTAGCTTTTTTGCCCCATGGCAAATTCAGTTCTGGTGAAATCTTTCTCTCTAATTTTGTCTGTTTTTCTTTTTCTTTCCTTGAGCGGCCTACATTTCAACAGATGGCAGCTACACAGGTGAGTAGTTCTTCTTTTGCATGTCAGTCAGGTGAGGTTAAAGACAGGTATGTCTCAGAAACTGCTCTTAAATAGTTCTGTGGATTGGAATAGTTTGTGCAAAATGTGCTTAACTTTTTTTTTATTTTTTTCCGAGAAGGGGCTTAGAATAGTGGAAGTTAAAGAGGGATGGAGCATTTAAGATTGCTTCACACGTTACGCTAGACATGTGTATCGCACCGTTGTCACGTATCTTTTTTTCGCATGTCGGAATGCAGATTCCCGTGTCATGTTCTTGAGGTTACACGTGTTTTCTTTGCAGGCCAACTTGCGAGAACAAAGATGCGAGATGCGTGTCTCTCGTAACGTTTGTGTGAGATTCACATGTCTCAGCGGGGGAGTTGCCAGCGTGATCATAGAGTGCATTGTACAGAGCGTCCCATCTCTCTATCCGCACTCTATCGTTAGGAGCTTCTTTGTTACACCCCCCTCCCCACTTTTGCTCCTTTTACTGCGTCTAAATCCATTGAAACATTTCCTGCTGCCATTTTTTAAAATTCCTGCTGCCAATATCACCGTGTCATCCCTGGAGCACACCATGTTGTCTGATACCCTTCCAGAGACCGTGCCGATGCCGAATCATGGCACAATGACTGCCTCTTCACAAGGCTCCTCCTCTGCCACGAAATCGAGGCGGCAACCTGTTTGGACTGATGAGGAGACCCGGGCCTTCATCCAGGTGTGGGGTGATGATGCTGTCCAGAGTGCGCTGGCCTCCAACTATCGCACAGTTGCCCAGTTCCAGTGGATAGCAGATGAGATGCGAGCCCGGGGCTACAACAGGGATTGGGAGCAGTGCCGCGAACGGGCCAAGGTGCTTCGCCGTGGCTTCAAAGAGATTGTGGATGGGAACAGTAATGCTGGTCACGGGCGGCGTGTGTGGCCGTATTATGAGGAACTCAACCGATTTCTTTGCATCAAGCAAAACCTGGTCGTTCCGCGGCTGTCAGGGAGCAATGCGAGGCCGCCCGTGGACCGCCGACGCCGGGAGCACAGGGAAACGCAGGATGCCTATGAGCCCCCTCTGTCAGTAGGAAAGAGTGACAAAGGGACTTTCGAGGAGCCCGATGGCGACTGCTTACTGTTGCCTGAGTCTGCTGGATCACAGCAGAGTGAAGCCAACCTGGAAAACCAAGTGGCCTCTCCAGCAGCCAACTCTGATCTGTCCATGGATGGGAGTGCTGGTCCAGGCACTCCCACTGATCCTTTGCCATCCAATGATTCCATTTCTGGTGAGCTTTGCTTGGACTTGTGGCATGTGTGTGCTGGGGAGGGGCGTTTCCGTGCCGTGTTGTTACTGTTTCCGCTATTCGTGGACATCTGAGCACTTCTTTACTACAGCAAAAAGAGGGGCTGTAGTGCTATATTCTTATTTCTGAATACTGAGTCATGTGATCAAGATTATGAGGCAGGGGAGAGAATCCTGTATCTTGCCCGCAGGGATGGGGAACCCTTTCAGCTCAAGGGCCAAATTCAGTGGTGGAAAAGCTTTTTGAGGCCGCATTCTGGTGGGAGTGGGGGATCAAGGCAAAAGGGGACGAACCAAAACATCAAAACTTACCAGCCTCCTTTGCTTTAGAGCACCTATTCCCAGTAACTAAACCTTAGGAGAGGCATTTCAGCCTTTTGAAAAGCAGGGAAAACTGCACTAAAGCCAAGAAAATCCCAAACAATCTGCAGTCAAGGGAAAGGGGGAGGAGGCCCTCAGGCAAACGGCAGATGGCCCGATTCAGACCTCAGAGGGGCTGGATTTGGCCAACATTCTGAGAAGTTTTTCATGCCCGTGTTGTTGGAGAAAGAGCAGTTGCAAACTAGAACAATATTTTGTGATATTTCAGAGGTCCTAGCAGTTCTGCGCAGGAGCGCACAGTGCAGGAGACAGAGTTTGCATCCTCAGCCTCACTCCCCAGTGGCTAACAGCATGGGGCTGCTTGCAACTCACCTTGGCTTAGTTTGTGTGTGGGGACAGTCAGTTTGTGCCAGGTGCCCCCAGGCCCCCTTTCTGTGTGGTGCCTTGCTTGGTCATCCGGGTGGCAGAGCTTGTTCAAACATTAAACAACCCTGAAATAACCCAGTTAGGAGCCATGAGTTAATTCAGGGTTGCCTGGCCCTCAGATAGCCCCTACTAGGAATGATGCAGAAGTGACATCTGCAGGGGCCCAACGAACGCAGCAGTCCCTGCCTTTAAGTCAAGTCACGGTGGGCTGTTACGTTGCGCTAAGCGGCTTGCACAAAATACGCAAATGCATGAGCAGCTGCACAATTTGAGTAATGCCTTCAAGCTGCAGAGACCCGCTTGCTCCCTTCACATGATTACACACAATGGTGTGAAATCTGGATTCTTTTAAACACTGTTAACTGGGTTGTTTTTAACACCGGATTCTGTTTTACACTGTTCTAGTCTTGTTTAAAATGTCACAATGCATCATCTTACTCAGTTCACCTTCTGCTGCTTGTTTCTCCAGCACCCAACCTGCGCCCTCGGCCTTTGACTGCCGCTGAGAGGATGCGGAACCTCCGCTGTCGGCAGAGAAAGAGGAGAGGGGACACCTTGAAGGAACTCATGGAGGTCACGTCTCAGGCCACCAGTGAACTTGTTCGGACACTGTCTGACCTCACGCACAAAGAGGTGGCTTCTTTTGAGCGTGCTTACAAGGAGGATCTTGCCGCCCGCAAAGATGAGATGGAGCAGAGTGCGGAGGACATTGGCCGGCTTGTCAGCGCACTGGAATCGAGCGATCAAACTTTGAAGGAGCAGCTGAGCAGCCAGACGAGCGTCTTGCAGGGCATACTGGAAGTCATGAAGGACATTCGGGGTAGAACGTCATACAGTCCTCCGTACCCTTCTCAGTATTACGACTTCCCGGGCCCCAGCATGATGCATACGGGGGGCACCTCCTCCAACGGCCAAGAGATGCCCTGCCCCTCTCCTTCCAGCCTTGCGTTCACTTCCCAGCAGTCTGCCACCAGCAACGGAGACGTCTCTCCCCGGAAGCGGATGAAATGAAACCATGGAGAGACGGGGCATATTTAGTCTCATTGTGAAAACCATCCCTCCAGCTGTTCTTGTTATGACATATATTGCTTTTCTTATTGCATAGTTAGAATGTGTTCTCACCACATTATGTGTGTCTCCCCACAGCATTAATGTTGTGGAATGGCTGCCAGCAATGTACATTTAGATTTATTCTTAACTGGGTTTTTTTTAGTGTACTTGCGTTAGTTTTCCTTCCATCCTGTTTCCAGAGGAATGCAGTGTTTGATGTACCAAGTGTAGAAGTTTTTTAAAAAATACACTGAACACATTACCAGGTACCTGTAAGAAGGTAATCTTTTTAAAGTAATAAAGCTGCACTGTTGTTCCAAATTGTTCAACATGCATCGTGCTGTTAGTGTCTTTAAGTGCCTTAAGGACTGGTATGTTGGGTCAGCCAGATGTTTAAGGGGAGTTTCTTATTATTTATGTATTGTATTTAAAGAACGTTCCTCATGCTCCTCAGCAAAAAGAGCTCCTGGGGTGGCTTATATGTATTCAGTAAAACAAGACAGTGCCTACTCACAGCCATACCACTCAAAGGATGGAACATGCAAGGAAAAGGGGACGAGGAGGGAAGAAGAGATGAAGCAGTCTTTCAGCAGGGGAGGGACTGGCCCTGCGCTTCTCTCACCTCCCTCAGTACAGCCTGCGGGAGAGGCTGCTGGTGGTGACGGTAGAGAGAGGAGGAGCCTTCATGGCGATGACTCTGCCGCAGGGTACGATGGCAGCATCCACCCCCATTAGCCTTGTGCATCTGGACCAGGATCAGCCATCTCTGAAAATGGAGTTGCTGGTTAGTAGACAGCAGGAGATGCCTTCTCCCTGAATTTCCCTCATCCTTTAAAGAACTGTTTCTGCTCTTGTTCGTCAGCACAACTTCCTGTGGTGTTCGGGTTAAAGATGCATGGTGTGCGGGAGCAGTGGTTTGGTTGATCTTCCACATGCTACTTCATGTTTGTAATGGCAGTGCCTTGTGCTTTGTATATGTTGTGGCCATGAATTTTTCATTATTCGCTACTGTGCTTCAGGTCTCGGACCTCTGTTGTGTCCCTATCCCCCCAACAGTGTCTGTTGCAAGTTGTTTACAGACCAGACTAGATATGATGACAACAGGCCTGCTTGTTCAAAACCCAGATTGTAAAACAGAAAGAGCATTCAGGTATAAAGAGCTGAAACATCCAAGCCTCTGCCTCTTAGCTGCCCAAGTATGTTTCTCACAGCTAAGTTCACTTCTTAACTGGAGTGTTTGCTGTTATTACTTGCCATCCAGCTATCTCTGACTTATGGCCACCCTGTGAATGATGCCCTCCAAAATGCACTGTCCTTGACAGCCCTGCTCGGTTCCTGTAAACTCAAGGCCACGGCCTCCTTTATGCAGTCGTTGGCCTGCTTTTTCTTCTTCTGCCTTCAACTTTCCTGCCCAAAGTTTTGTCCTTTCTGTTTACAGGGCACGTTGTGACTTGATTTGCTCCAGGACCTACCTGTTTGTCTTTCTGGTAGTCCAGGGTATTCATAAGGCTCTCCTCCAGCACCATGTTTCAGGCAAACCAGATTTCTTTCTGTCAGCTTGGCAGGGAAAGGTTTATCAGTCTTCATCCATATGCCATTAGTGCTCTAAGAATCCCAAACCACTTTATATGCGACTGTCAAAGACCTGAGTTTAAACAAGCTGGTCTGTTGTTGTGTCTCACTCGGTTCCTACATTTACTTAAAGGAATGACTCTTCTCTCTGCATAAGTTTCAACTTTTGTATCATTTTTGGGTGGGGTGGTCACATTTGCACACAATAATATAATTGGGCTCACAGCACTATGACCTTTTAAAAATTGTGGGGTGTTACTTCTTGTTCTGTTTATTGACATTTTGAAAGACTTCAACTAGGTTGATGACTTCACTTTGCTGAAGCCATACTGCTACTGCTTCAGTGTGGCATTATTGTGATTATGATTTTTTTATTAGATGGCTTCCTCAGGAAAAAAGATCCAAGGAGTCTTACAGTAGGAATTAAAAAATATAATAGTTTAAAGCAAGTTGGAACAGCTAAAAACAATCTAAATAATATAAGAACATAAGAAAAACCATACTGGATCAGACCAACATCCGTCCGGTCAAGCACTCCCTACACACAGTGGCAAACCAACTTCCCACAGGCTCTCTCAAGTAGGATGGCGCAAGACCACCTGCCCAAGCCCCTCAGCAAGTGGTTAAGGGCATGGGACTGGGACTCAGACGACCTGGGTTCTAGTCCCCGCTCAGCCATGGAGCCGACTGGGTGACTTTGGGCCGGTCACAGACTCTCAGCCCAACCTACCTCCCAGGGGTGTTGTTGTGGGGATAAGATGGAGGAGGAGAATGATGTAAGCTGCCTTGAGCCCTTTGTAGGAAAAAGGCAGGATATAAATCAATCAATCAATCAATAAATAAATAAATGTCGCCTCTGGTGAAGAAGCTAACACAGCCAGAAGGCTGGTAGCCATGCATTAACCGCTCCTCTATGAATCTGTCCAGTCTCCTAAGGCCATCTAGATTGGTGGCCATCACCACTTCCTGTGGCAGTAAATCCCATAGTTTAACCGTACACCATGTGAAGTGCTTCCTTTTATCTGTCCTAAACCTCCTGCCAATCAGCTTCATGGGATGACTCCAGGTTTGAGTGTTATGAGAAAGGGAGAAAAATGTCTCCCTTTCTACTCTCTCCATACCGTGCATTTTTAAGCACCTCTATCATATCTCCCCTTGCCTTTTTTTCTAAGCTGAACTGCCCCAGTTGCTGCAGCCGTGCTTCATAGCAGAGCTGCTCCTGCCCCCAGTAACTGTTGTTGTCTTTCTCTGTACTTTTTTTGAACTTAATGTTTTTCAGGTAAGGAGACCAGAACTGGACACAACATTCCAAGTGCAGTCACACCAAAGATTTGTATCAAGGGAGTACGATCTTGGCAGTCCTATTTTCTATTCTGTTCCTAATTAGCATTGAAATTGCCTTCTTAACAGCGGCTGAGCACTGGGCTGATGTTTTCATTGAGTTGTCCACTACCATCCCAAGATCCCTTTCTTGCTCAGTCACTGCTAATTCAGATCCCATCGGCCTATACTTGAAGTTAGGGGGTTTTGCCCCAAAATGCATCACTCTGCACATGCTTATATTGAACTGCAATTGCTCATTCTCCCAGGTGGGGGAGATCCCTCTGGAGCACCCCACAATCCCATTTTGTTTTAATCACCATACATAGTTTGGTGTCATCTGCAAACCTGGCCACTTCACCACTTGCTCCTAATCCATTTATGAAAAGGTTGAAAAGCACTGGTCTTAATAAAGAATGTTATGGAACTCCACTGGTGACCTCTCTCCATTGGGAGAAATGGCCATTTATTCCCACTCTCTGCCTTCTTTAATCAATTAGTGATCCATAAGAGGGCCACCCCCTTTTATTTCATGACTGCTTAGCTTGCTCTGGAGCCTTTGGTGAGGAGCTTTGTCAAAAGCCATTTGGTTCTACTGGATTGCCCCCTTCACTGGGGTTGGACTCTCAAAGAACTTCAGTAGGGTAGTGAGTCATGACTTCCCCTCACAGACGCCACGCTAGGTTTTTTTTTTTTTTTTCCTTCCCAACAATGAAATAGCAAGACCTAATAAAAACTGAATTAAGAAACCTATAATCTGCTCTCATATGCCTGGGAGTGAAGAAAGGTCTTAATTTGGGCTGGCACCTAAAATATGACAATGTTTGCATGTGTAAGCTACACATTTAACCATTCTGACAAGAATTACTATTTTATTATGGGTCACATAAAACTTTGGGTATAAGCCAATGTAACAAAAACCAACATAACTCCAATGATAAAACACGTTCATAGAATTTAGAAGCAGCAAAAATAATTTAAAATAATTTTAAAAAGAAATTTACAGGTTGGGCCTTAAGTAGGTACACAGTACTGATCGGGTCATGTTTAGTCTCTTAGGTGAGTGAAATGTCCTCCATCAGTTTTGCAACTTTCCTGGAAACTGTCGCTAACAATGAGACACAAATTTTAGTTAGCACCCATATTGGTAAGTGCTTGTGAGATGAACGCCTTCAATCTGTCCACTGTGTGAGGTCCTCCATGACACAATATGTACTGTATGCCTACTTTTGGCCCACCCTGTATATCAAAGCAGCTAAAGCATGGAAAAGGATTCGTTTAAAATGCAGGTTTTAAACTAATGAAATGAAATGAGCAGGGGAGGTAGTTTGTTGTTCTGGGAAAATAAAAAAGACTTCGCCATTTTTTCCCCAAAGGAAGTTAAGATAACAAAGCCTATAGTTTACTGGGCTTTTCCTTAGAGATTATGATCATTTCACCTCGTTTGGGATTTCTTGGTTTGTTAAATATATGTCATCTTTTCTCTGATGTGCTCCTTGTTTTAATTTTAGGGAATTGGCTTCAGTGGGAAGTATTCAAAAGGAGTGCCCTGAGCTGCATGCTACAGTTGTACACGCCGGAATTTGATCTCATTCTCCTGCATGGGCAGACTTTACAAGACAATCCTATGTATGTTTACTTAGAAAATAGTCTCTATGAATTCATCGAGGCTTATTTCAATGATGTACATAGGACTACAGTTTCCATTGGCACTGATTTTATGTGGATTTGATTTTCCTCCTTTGCTTTGGTGTGTCCGTGTGTCTTATTTCTGTCGTTACTGAAGCATGAGTCACACATATGGCAGAATGCGGATGTAGATTACAGTCATGAGAATACAGCTCTGTACTGCATCAGATGGCATTCAGATTGTGATCGCTTGCCTGTTTTAAAACCTCTGCTAAACCAAAAATATGACAGATTCTTGAGAAGGATATATTAAACTTTTTTCACCTCACATGGGCTAGTTTACTGTATGCAGGAACTTTTTCATAAAGGACAATTTGGAGACATGACTCTATACCTGTATTCTTAACTGGTAGGGTTCTTTTTTCTACCTCAGATTTATTTATCTATTTCATTTCTCTGCCACCCCATAACCGAAGTTTCTCTGGGCAGCTTACAAATGCTAAACAGCATAAAAACATGCATAAAATACAGTAAAACAATTGATAATCTGATAAAATAGATAAAACAATAAAATAGTTAATAACATCATGTAACATCACACACACACCAATAAGCATAGTCAATAAATTAACCAAAATTTAATTAAGCCACAACAAAATATAAAGTATTAACTTAAATAAATTAACCAAAAACTTGTTTAAATTAAAAAGTTTTCACCTGGCACCTAAAAGAAAGAAGAATTGGTGCCAGCCATATATCCCTGGGGAGTGAATTCCAGAGTCTAGGCCAGGGGTCCTCAAACTTTTTA